ATAGCTGCTGGATGCCCGCCATGCTCCACAGACATGATTAATGTAGTGCGTCCTAGATCTTCGACAACAATATAACGATGAGTTTCTTTTGTAAGGTTATTGATATTCTTTCCATTTACCCACATGTTCTCCACACTGGAATTGAATAATATAAGCATGTAAGGAGGCATTCTCGGCACCAATTTAGCTGGCTGTTAACCTGCGGCAACGCGCGGGGTACCTGCTATATAAAAATACATCATAATTAAGGTTTGATTAAATCAGCTAAATAATTATCGCTATTTTTGTTTGGTTATTGAATTGAACAGAACAAATCTAAATGATTTCATTATTAGTGCTTAGAAAACTAAACTGAGAGTATATAATACTTTTTTAAAAACAAAGTAGAACTAAGACAATATAATTTTATATAGCTATATATCATTTCAGTTCTGAATTAATGGCATCCATGTTTCATATACCTTAATTGCAATCACGAAGCGGGATGGAGAAAATGATGAGACCGTTGAAGCCAATTACCCTAACCGTGACACTTCACAGTCTATAAAGTAGAGTTTGTAAGCCTGTGACGCCGCGCTCTCCGTGACTGTTAATTTCACAAACTTTGCTTTTTGGATTAACTGTAACTTTAACGTTGATATTTAATTTTTACAGTATTATTATCTTATCGAACGATCCGTGTGTTTTTAGTATAAAATGTTAGCTATTCCATAGCAATACACGGGCACGCTACCTAGTAAAACAAAGTAAGGGCACGTTTGCAATAACTCTAGCTAGCTTCGAGATCTATCTTGGATGATTTAAATATTTATACTTAATCTAAGCTATAATAAATAAGTCATGTAGATGCACTTGATATATGTATGGCTCTAGATCATACCCTACTCTACGAAGAGTATAGATTTTCTAGAGCTAGAGTTTTGCTAAACAGAGACAAAAGAATAAACTAATAATTTATAAATAAATAATTATGGCGACTACGAGCAACAAAACCTTTAGCAACAGGAACAAGCAAGATCCAAACAGCTTTAAATAGAGCACTAAGGTTAAGAAACCATGGCATTGGCTTAAGAAAAATAGCTATTCGTAATATTTAGTGAGTTCCATCTTATATGGATTTGTTTCTTAAAAGGAACTCATCTAGTCGTGTCCTCGAGTGCTTGAGCCCTTTTTATTCTTTTATACAAATTTATTAATAATTTTATACTCCATGAATATATCGATCGATAAAATGATTACACCAAGCATGCCTCCTTCGCCAATGCATATACCCGTACGTAAGCACCTAATTAAGTCGTATGCCGACCCTACTACCTATGGCACGATCTCGCCGGCCGGCCTGCCGGTCTCACCGCGGCGGGACGTCGTCGGCGGCGAGGACGGCCTCGAGCGTGGTGACGACCCTGGCCATGGAGGGCCGGACCTTGGGGTTCTGGCTGAGGCAGTCGTAGGCGAGGCGGGCCACGCGCTCCAGGCCCATCTCCGGGCCCACCTCGCCCATCCGCCGGTCCAGGATCCGCTCCAGCTTCTTGGGCCGGATCAGAATGGGCCGCGCCCAGTCCACCAGGCTGCCGTCGCGGGCCCCCGCCCGGCTCGGCTCCAGCGCGCGCCGCCCCACCAGCATCTCCAGCAGCACCACGCCGAAGCCGTACACGTCGCTCATCACCGTCAGGTGCCCTGCAATGCATGCGCGGCCGCGGCGGAGGAGAAGCATTATGTCATTGCGGGTGCAGCTGGCTGCCCGCCGTCGTCAGGGAAGAATTAATTGAAGGTCGGTACCTACCGGTGGCTATGTACTCCGGCGCGGCGTAGCCGTAGGTGCCCATGACCCTGGTGGACACGTGCGTCTCGCCGCCCATCGGCCCCTCCTTGGCGAGCCCGAAGTCCGACAGCTTGGCGTTGAATTCCTGGCACATCGAGAAAGGTACGGAGGGTGGTGAGTCTCTCTGATGCTTTTAATTAATTGGTGGCCGCCGGCGCCGGCGACGGCGGGCCGATGAAGGTGAGCCGACGATCGATCGTAGGCAATTCAATAACGAACAAACCGCGTCGAGCAAGATGTTGGAGGTCTTGAAGTCCCGGTAGATGATGGGGCGGTCGGGCCCGTGGAGGAAGGCGAGGCCCCTGGCGACGTGGAGCGCAATGGCCACCCGCGTCGTCCACGACAGGCTGCAGGCGCGGCGGAACAGGTGGTGCTCCAGGCTGCCCTTGGCCATGAACTCGTACACCAGCAGCCGGTGGTCGTCCTCGCAGCAGTAGCCGATGAGCTCCACCAGGTTCGGGTGGCTGTACTGCCCGAGGTAGCTCACCTCCGTCTGCACGCACAAGCACGTCGTCCATCGACGGACGTGGCTGAGATCGAGATTCATGGAGAATCGGAGACACTAGATAGATGGAACACATGCGGATGCCTGACCAGCCACTCCCTGTCGCCCTGGAGGCCCTCCGGGTTGAGCACCTTGACGGCGACCTCCGTGGGCGGGTACCCCTTGCGCACGGCGCCGTCGATGACCCCTCTGTAGACGACACCGAAGCCGCCCTCGCCGACGATCTGCCCCGGGTTGAAGTCGCCGGTGGCCTTCCTGAGCTCGTCGTACGTGAAGAGCTTGAGGCGGCCGTACGCCGACATGGTCCGGAACTCTTCCACGTCCTTGGGCACGGCCAGCACCAGCATTCCCTCCGACCCCACCTTCCTCAGCTTTGAAGGGGCCGCCGCTGGCCTCGGGGCCTCATCTGCGTGCATACGCGGCGCGATCGGGAACGCAGATCATATATATATGTCGAGCATGGATGCAAAGCGGCGGCGGAATCGAGGCCGACTCCTCCAGGTCAGGTGCGTGCGTACCTCGACGGCGGGCCGACGACGACTGGCGCGGCTGGCGGATGTCGCCGCAGCTAGGGAGGATCCAGCGATGCATTTTCCGGAGGATCGATATGTGGCTGATCATCTTGGGTTGGCTCGTTCGTTCGTTCCTCTCCCTGCTGGCCGGCGGTGTCGGGGGCCGGGGGCGGCCGACGCGCGCGAGCGACGGCAGCCTCCGACCACGCACGCGCGCACGCCGGGGAGAGACGGCACGGTGTGCTCTCGGCCGGGTCGATGCCGATGGAGGAGGCACGGTGAGCTGCTGTGGGAGAGACGAATGAATAGGCAGGGATCGGAGACGAGCGGCGGGGCCAATGGTCGGAGCAGGGGCGGCCCGAGCTTTTGGGTGGTGGCCAGCCCGCCTCGCCCCCTGCCTGCTTTGCCTTAATTTGGCGGGCAACAGCGAGCGATCCACGCGCTCACGCGCCTGCTCCGTGCATGTTGGTCAGGCCGTCAGCCGTCGCGGCAGCGCTCGGGAACTAGTAGTGAGCAAAAGACCATATTTATGGTCATTTGAGCAAGCTCGATGTCATCAAACATTAGCCAAACAGAACTTCAAATCAAAAGAAAGAAAATCTCAAGGTTCTTTTTTTTTAATTGAAAAAAGGGAGAAAAGCCAGCCATTATTTGGGCCTTTAATCTGACCTGGAAGAGCAGTTGGGCCTGTTAATCGTATGGGCTATTCTTTGGGCCAGGCCCAGCGTGTTCACCGAAGCAGTCTCTCTCCTGAGTCCTGACACGCGGGGCGACTCCATTGCGATTGCGGCAAATGCGCGCAGAAGAAGAGGGGCGCACAGAGCCAGAGAGGTTAGGGTCGTCGTCGGAGAGGACGAGCGGAGGGAGGGCGTCGGCCGTGCTAGGGTTAATGAAGCGCGGACGCCGCTGTGGGCCTTGCCCTCGAGGTTTCGCGGCGAGGTGCGAGTGCGATGCGGGCGCGGCGAAAGGGTAATGTTAGCATTTTCTTTTTCAAATTGGTTATTCTTATTTTCTGAAAGCTCCTAAATTCTGGGTCTTTGTATTTGGACAGTCTACCGGTGGTCGAGGGAGGGAACCTGTAGGATCTCCAACCAACCAAACATGCTATCCCACGTTGGCTGAGACTGGCTTTATCTTCAACTGATCCATCAGCATTAGGTAAGTTTATAGGTTTCTTAGCATTTTTATGCCGTTTCTAGCCAGTTCATGTTGCCCAGTTTTAGTAGATGATTTTTCCCTCAGCATAATTGAAGAAAAAAATGGAGACTTATTCTAAAAAAAAATGGAGACTTAAAACAATTATTATCACACTTGTTGCAGTGAACAACTGCATCGGGCAAAGATATACATTAGCCAACTCCATAGTCCATATCAATCTGGAACATGATAGCATGTAATGGAAAATAAAGCACAACTGTGGATATGTTCATGTGCTGTATTCACCTTATTTCGACACGAATAAAAACACTCTGAGTTGACACATAGGTACATACAGATCATTGTCAAATAAAAAGATTACAGATGTGCATAAACTCAGTCTTAGGCTCTGTCAGAATATTACAATAGCAATAGGTTTTCGAAAAAAAAAATTACAATAGCAATAGTTTGCCATCAATATCATACATTGGACTATTGGAGCATTGGACAACAAGCAAAACAATAATAATTGGGGAGAAGTGGCAATTCGGCATTTGGCTTCAGTTTCTTGACAACACAGATTCAGATTGACAGGAGTTTGCTTTAAAAAAAAAAAATTATTCAGAGTGGACTGCAAAGGCGTGTAGACAAGCATACTGCAGGACAGCAGCGAACTTTGAGCAAAGGAGGGAATCTAGGCCTCGAAGATTACGAAAGAGGAAGCCTGGTATGCATACAGGAAGGTTTTTAAGGGATTGGATGTTAAATTTGCGTCTTGTTCCATGGAGGGCAGGAATAGAACATAGGTGGTACGGACTGCTCCCATTGGTCCGTACCTGCATAAAGTGAAAAGTTCATAAGAAAACACAACAGAATTAACAGCAGGCACATTTACTATATCTAATTATCTTTCTCTTTATGCTTGGGAAAATAAATAAATTGCTACACACAAAAACAAATGAACATTAAAAATAATGTAATATTAGTGCCTTGAAGATATCACCTTTTTGCGCTGTCATCATCTTCACTGGATATCCATGCCGTCTCTTGACCTTGAAGAGGACTCCTGATTGGTGTTGGGAGTTGAGTCTGAACTCTGAATAGGACTAGCAGTACAAGCATTCTTCACAACACTGTCATCAACATGGAGCTCACTCTCTTGCAAATGAGGGATAAGAGGTCCAACATCACTAGATTTGTCTTTAGTTGGCTGTTGCTTTGCCTGTTCAGAATTATGACGAGTTTCTGCCATGGAACTAGTTTGACCAGCTTTGTCTCCATCATTGCTAGCACAAGATTTTGTATTCTGAGTAGTGCCTTTAGCACCCCTGTTATACAAACAGAAAGCTTGATTAGATAGTAGTGCTCGACTGCTCGTGATCATATCATGCATTTTAGTATTTTTTACAATAAAGGGAGTAGTAATGAGTAAGGACAGCTTCTATGAGTGCCTGAGTGGTCACCTTAGTGGAGTGGTGGGGTCGATGACCATGCTTTGGGTGGTTCCTTCACCTTCAGTCGCGGGTGGGGTGACGGACTCCGGTGCAGTGGTTTGGTTTGCTTCTGGGTTCTTTCTTCATTAGATGTAGTACTGGTCACTACTTCCTGAGCTAATGGATTCTTTCTTTTCTCCACAGTCAAGTCTATTTCTGTGCTCTGTTCCATAATCTGAGTCTCCGTCACAAAAATAGATGATGGACCAGCTTTATATCCCGCATCTGGTTTAGTTTGCGAGTCATTGTCTTCATCACTATCATCATCTGTATCCTTTACAATTAAGGGTTCTTTTCCTTTTTCTGAGCTTAGTGGTTTGATGTGCTCGTAAGATTTTTGTGCATCAGCCAAAAGCTTATGACCAGACTTTGTATCCTGAGTACAGTATTTAGGACCCCTGTTATTGTTATACAAATAGAGAGCTTGGTGTGAGAGTGGTTGCTATCGTGTTGTTCATTTTTCAACAGAGGTGGTAATAAGGAACAATTATAAGGATTGCTTCTATGGGTGCTGACCTGGGTGGAGTGATGGTGTCAATAATGGCCTTGGTTTCCGTTGCTTCACCTCCAATGGCAGGTGGGGCGCCGGGCTTGTGTGTCTTAGTTTGGCTTCCTCCAGTAGCAGCTCTGCTAGATTTGTTGACGTGCATGTTGATCTCATGAATTTTCACACCCGTTGCGCTGCCTTTCACACTCTTAACAAAATCTGGGTGCATTTCAGACAGATACACACACTTGAGAGAGAGAATATGCTCAAGCCCCTTTGCCGAGACATCAGTGAGGTTGTCACACTTAGTAAACTTCAGCTCCTCCAGGTTCTTCATGGCTCCTGTGCCAAATGTGCACTCGATCAAGTTTTCCATGGACACAATGGACAACTTCTTCAATTTACGGTAGCTCCCCTGTGTACAACTCAGTTTCGAATATGTGGAGGCATTGCATATGGAGAGGAGGAGGTCCCAAAGGCCTTGCAGATGATGTAACACGTCAACATCCAACTTGCTGTCCCAGAGATACAGATGTGTGAGGGAACGTATCATGGAGATACGGTCTGCAGACAGTTTTCCCATATCACCACCCAGCTTTAGCTTGCGGATATTTTCTCCAATTTTTAGACCCTATATCAAACCGGCTCCTGTCAGGTGTTGCTTCTTTATTTTTGTGAGGCTTACCATCAGATATGTTTTCCTTTTTATCGACAGGCTCCACACCTAGTGATGTGTTTTTCTTTTCTTTTCCCAGGTCCTCATCATATGCGGTTATAGCGAGTGAGTGAAGGAACCCCATATTGCTGACTGCAGAACATATGTTCTTGGATGATGCAGTTGATACTTTGATTGATAGTTTCCTGAGGAAGCTAAGGTGTGATAATTCCTGCTCCAAATTTCCTCCATCCACAGTACCAGACAGCGTCCGCAGATTGACCAACGATCGCAGGCCTTTCACTGATAAGAACGGACTGGTTACGGAAGGATTTTGCAAGATGGAGATGCCTCATTTCTGTAAATGCGGACACATCATCCAAGCTTGTCATGTAGTTGTCCCTGATATCAAGGCACAACAATTTCTTGAGCCTGTTGAAGGACGCAGGCAGATCCTCCAGTTGTGTGTTCCGCAGGCTGAGGTACCGCAAGCAAACAAGGCATCCAATACTGTGCGGTAGGCGGCCGAGACGGGCTCCTTCAAGTTCTAGCGTCCGTAGAAGCCTGTATGCGCTGCGTCTGATTGGCAGCCTGTGTGGGCATCTGAATGAAAGCTTAAACTCTTTGGTTCCAAAATATAGCAGGGAACGAAGTCGGATGTCCCTGCGGAGCGTCTCCGATACCTCTTTAACTCCATCTCCATGCACGGAGAGCACGCGATAGATGTTGTTGAGCTGGGTGGGGACACCGGATGTGTATTGCCAGGCACAAATCTGCAGAATTTCAGTACCTTGCACATTTTTAACGCAAAGGGACGGATATGCTGGTTTATGCTGCATTTGAGCACTTTGCCATCAACGCCTTTCTTCTTTTCAACGAGCAGATTCTTTCTGATGAGGACCTGTAGCTGGCTCTCTGCTTCATGCTCTTGGCTGTGAAGCAGACTGTCTTGTACGAAACCTTCTGCCATCCACAGTCGAGCAAGCTTCTGTGCTGATATTTCCAATCCTTCTGGAAAAGCCAGACAGTATAAGAAGCCACGCCAGATGCTGAGGGATAATGTGTTATCATCCAGTGCTATGGGTGGATCAACCTTTCCTATTTCTCTATTTCCGTTTATCAGCATGCCATTGATCCGCTCCTGGATTTCATCCCACCTTTCAGATGGATTGGTCTTGAGGAGCTTCCCCGCCGTCTGTATGTTCCAAGGGTTGCCCATGCATTTCACCAATACTTGTTTCAGTATAGTGATTTTCTTGGCCACTTCAGTTACTTGTAAATCATCATCCCCAAGTTTGTCGGTATCCTTCCACTCGATAGCTTTCTTAAACTCATCCCCGTGGAATCCGGGGAAAGCTACATGCACAAGTAACTTGTGTGCATCGCTTGCTTCAAGAGGGTTAATCATAATAGTCTTACTATTATTTTTGGTATCATCTTGTAGGACATCATCTTCTATATTTTTTCTTGTGGTCAGACAGATGATCTTTCCCTTGCAACCTTTCAAGACGTGCTTCAGAGTATGCAAAGCACAAGTGTCTTCGACATCATCCAGCACTATCAAGTAACGTCCTTTACCCTCCCCATGGAAGGTTTCTTTCACCTTATTCATTATCTCCAACTCACTGATGGTATTGTCTTCAACAGACTCTTCCACTTGGAGCACCTTTCTCAGGAAGCTTGCCAAACCTGTAATTTTTGCCGTATAGTCTACCCAGGAACATGGACCGAAACTGCTCCTGACATGGTTGTCTTCATACAAACTCTTCACTAGTGTGGTCTTCCCTGAGCCTTTCTCTCCGATGACGAAGATCACAGAATGATTGTAACTCCCTCTCAGAAGTTTCTTTAGCTCCTTGATTGTGTTGTCCATTCCAAATACTGTTTTTGCCATCTCTGAGTGAGAATATCGGACGAAAGGGGAGATCGCGCAAAGCTGTGGCTCCAAAAATTTGGAAGAATTACTCTCAAACTGCTGCACCTTATCTGGTTTACTCCTTATGCAGTTCTTGATGGTCGAGGTGAGGTCTTTGATTGACTTCTTCCCAATAGCTGACTTCATTACAATTAAGTCACCAACCTCGAAGCCACGTATCCTGTACATTGTGATCTGATCTTCCAGGCAAAAGGCTGCCTCTTGGGCTTTATTGATCCACCTGCAGACCTGGTCCTGCTCAGGATTTTTTATCCCACCAGCAACGATGAAAGAAGCATAGTTGATGTAGTTCTCAATTTCTAGAAGTTCTCGTTCAGCCTCGTTGATTTTGTTTCCTGATCTGATTTCATCAATGTCTTCCTGTAGACATAGCTTCCAGGGGGCCTTTTTGTAACTTCCAAAACTAGTTCCACATAAGACCGTATTATATAGGCCTGGAAACCGAAGGGATCCAGACCAAGCATTTTGTAATCAACCTTCTAATGGAGGAGCTGCAACCAGAAACATGAGTAAGCACTATCTTTTTGTGTTGAATGAAATTTAAAATTTTTTATGTCAAGAATACAATCAATAATCTAGCTTTGGTTCTATTCTATCTATTACTCCTGTCCTAGTGTGTACTTTAGAATCAAACATTGCAAGGTTGGACCAATAATTTCTATGTAAGCATCTTGTCGGTACAGAAAGTGACCAACTAGTGAATATTTGTAGTTTTGCTGTACGTTGTGATCGGAGGTGGCCTAGCACTCAATGACACATGATTTATACTGGTTCAGGCAACCTGCCCTACGTCCAGTTTGGGTCGGTCGGTGACTCTATTCCTGAGTCCAGGTGCTCGAAGTCTATAGTGGGGTTACAAACGAGAAGGAGAAAGGTGAGGTGTATGAGAGGCCCGGTCGGGTCCGACCGGAAGGGCCAAGGGCGTCTGGAACTCCGCAATGAGCTAGGTGTTTGAGCGTATGCTTGAGGGGTTGCGAGCTGTCGATCTAGTGAATCTCAACTTGAAGAAGTCGACTGGGGGAAAATCGATCTTCCTTGTTGGAGGGAGCGCATCCCCTTTTATAGATGAAGGAGATGGCTTTACAGGTGAGAGGGAGAGAGTACAGATGTTACTAAGCCTTGTTGCCCACGCCGATGAAGACAATGATGATGGTAGGCGCCCACAATATTGTTGATGTTACTGTGTAGAATGTCAGGTGCACATGGGAGGTTGCGTTGGCTTCTTCAGGAAGGGTGGATGTCGGTACCTGCAAAATACTGTTGATATGTGAGGAGCCCTACCACGTGTACCAGGTATGGTGAATCCTAGTGCCTATAGTGCCATCGATGTCCAGAGGCATGTGGGGGGCTTTTTGCTGTACGGGAGTCCAACGGCGCCTACAATACTGTAGACACAAATGTCGGCGCCTACAATACTGTTTGTGTCAGGGCGGTTGTGGAGCATTGTTCCTGCAGGCGCACAGGGTATGGTCCTTGGTATCGTGGTTTGACTTGTGCGCTGCCCTCTCCATTCGCCTCAGGTCCCTTCCGAGCGGGCGCCCCCGGTCGGGTGACCCTAGTCGGTCCTGGCCGTGCCAGTCGGAGAGGAACGACAAGCAGGCTTCCTACGGGTCCCCGGATCGGAGACGCGGGGTCGGAGTAGGAAGCGGCGTCTTGGGCCAGGCCTTCCGATCGAAGAGACCGCCTGAAGGCGACTGGTGTCCGAAGCGGGTGCTCCGGTCGGAGAGGTGGGCCGAAGAAGTTGACGAGCGGGCGCTTGTCCCTTTCGGGTAGACCTTCCGGTTGGCGACCGGACTGTCCTTCCGGCCCGTGGTGTTTTAGACTTTTGGGTCGGCCCATGAACTGCATGCTGTTTTCTTGGGCCGAGCCCTGGCGTGGAAGCCGGTCCTCGAGGGACCCTGGGTTTATGAACCCGACAAGAGCCCCCGAGCCCCCGGGCGATTTGAGCAGAATCGTCCGGGGGATGTTTGTCTTGCCGGCGGGTGCGCGCGAGCGCACCTACGGGTGTAGCCCCCGAGCCCCCGGGCGGTTCGGGCAAAACCGACTGGGGGGTTTTCTGTTTTTGTCGGCGGGGGAGGTTTTTTCTGTTGTGTCGGCGGGTGCGCGCGAGTGCACCCGCGGGTGTAGCCCCCGAGCCCCCGGGCGGTTCGGGCCGAGCCGTCTGGGGGGTTTTGTTTCAGCGGGCGTGCGTGTTTTTAGTTTTTGAGATGGAATTTTGTTAACCGCGATGTCGTTGCGCAGCTGAGGTGGTTTTTAGGCGCGGGGATGAGACAGATCTTACTGATCCCGGCGTCGGTGCGTGCCGTGGATCGGGTGAGAAGGTCGATTTGGGACAAACCCTGGCGTCGGTGCGCGCCACGGATGGAGATAGCTCGGTTCGGATGCGACCGAGCTCATTGATCTTTAGCGTCGATGCGCGCCGTGGGATCGGTCGAGGCGGAGTCGCGAGCGGACCCAGGCGTCGGTGCGCGCCGTGGTTCAAAAGTTAGTTTAGGAATCGGTCGAGTCGGAGCTCCGTAGCCGTATGACGCCGTCAGAAGTGAAGCCGTTACGCGAGTTCGGAGTCGCGGTCCCAGGGTTTATTGGAGCGCAGTCTGAAGTGAAGCTGTTACGCGAGTTCGGAGTCGCGGTTCTAGGGTTTATTGGAGCACAGTCGGAAGTGAAGCCGTTACGCGAGTTCGGAGTCGCAGTCCTAGGGTTTATTGGAGCCGAAGCATAGTTAGTTGGTTAAAGATCGGACGAGGCGATGCTCGCGGATCCTGGCGTCGGTGCGCACCGCGGGATCGGGCGAGTCGGAGTCATGGATCTGGTGAGTTCGAGGTCGCTGTCCTTGACGTTTGTCTTGAGCCCCCGAGCCCTATCGGGCCTTCGTGGGGTCGATTTGAGTTTATGTGCGTTACCCCATCCTTGGTTCCTCACAAACCAGAGGGGCTGAGTTTCGTCGCCTGTCCCGATCGCTAGGGCTCGAAGACTAGCTCGGTGAGTTCGCTAACGGGTGTGATCGAGTGGAATCCGGGTCCGTCGTTCGTGACGGGGTCGACATAGCCCTCTTGTGACATTCCACTACTCCTTTACCTGCAACCCAACATATGCCTATGTCGTTCCGGAGACCGACCTGGGTGGCCTAACGGCCTCCCCTCGATGGAGATTCTGTGGGCCTGGCGAGAGGTTCAGGATCGAACGAGAAGGTTGAGATGACCCGGTCTGCCAGACCGGGCTAGGGCCGCACGGTGCTCATCAACGGTTTTCTCCCCTGGCTCTGTGGTTGCCCATGTCGAATGGGGCAACCGCCGCTTCGTGACGCAACACGGAGCATTCTGGTGCATTTCGCTGCACGTGCGATGCTTAGTTCCCAAGCCCCCGGGCGGTTCAGGGCCCAAATCGTCCGGGAGGCGCGGGCGTATGAAATGAATGCGCGTATGGATGTATGAATGATTTATAAAGAAAAGGAGGGGGTTTTGGTAATGTTTACCTTGACGACTAGAGAGATGGGGCTCGGAGAGCTTCAGTCGGAAACGTCCGACCGGGACCCGTGCTCGTCGTTCATGACGGAGTCGGCATGACCTACATGGGGCATCCCTTTGCTTCCAACCTGTGTCTCGGTGTTTATCCTGAGCGATTCGATCGGCTCGGGGGATTGGTTGGTCTCCCGACGAAGATTTCGTTTTTGGTCTCCCTGCCTACTCGTGGTGACGCTTTGGTTTTCACGCCTGGTCGTGCGATAGTGGTAGGGCATACCCCGGCCATGCTTCGTTTTACCAAGGGGCGTTCCGTCTGACCTGGCGTTGCTCCGTCGGTCAGTGCGCGCCCCTTCGGTCAGAGCGTGTCCCATCGTTTCCTATTCGCATTGAATGGAGGTAGGTGGAGAGTTTTGTGCTCTGATTGTTTACCTTTTTTCTTTAAATAGGGGGGAGGAAGAGGGCTTTCCGTCGTAGTCCTTTGCCTATTCTCCAACTATTGTCTCTCTTCCTTCTTCTTTTTCATCGAGAGTGCCTGTATGCCGCAGCGGTTCCTAAGTGAGAGAGAGGGTGAGCGAGGGGGGGACCTACGGATCCTTTTGTGAACCCGGAGCGTGATGTCGGACTGGAGGCTGCCGTGGGTGATGCTGGATTTGATCTGCAAGGCTTTCTTCGAGATGGAGCTGTGTGCGGATTTTTTCTAGAGGATCTTCTCTGGGCGAGCTTTATCGGAGGGGAGGTCGCTCAGGATTGTGAGGGTTCCGTGCCTGCAGCTGCTAAAGTCGGCCAGTTCATAAAGTTTTGATAAGATTTCTTCCAGCCATGGTGGCCATACCTTGGTAGCAGCGCCCCTACCCAAGAGCTGCCTCGACTGCATGATAAGGTCGGGAGCTCCATGTTCTTCTGCTGAACATCTATGGGTGCGACGCCCTTGAGGTACCCGTTGTGTTTTGTCGGAGTTTTGAAGGAGCGGAACCGAGTGATTTATGGCGTTCAGGCGGAGTCGTCGAGTGGCCGCAGTAGTATTTGTAGTAGTAGAAAATGTAATAGTTAAGTTTTTGTGGGTAAGTCCCCGTGTAAATAGTTTCTTTGTATCAATGAATACAACCGCACTGCCCCTGTGACGAAACCACCATATCTGTTTCCTTGTTGTTGTCCTAGCATAACCTTTGTTTTTATCATTCCTTTCTCGTACCTACCCGTTTGTCCCGTATGGTGCAATCTTGGGAGCCCGGGGCGTGGCCCGCTAGGCTCGGTTGCTCATATCCGTAGGGAAAGGCGGTGCGTCGTTCGGTTTGGGAGTAAGAATAGGGTTACGTAGGGTAATCAAAGGAATGGAATGTGTTTCCGTTCGGGGAGAAAGTTGTATACCATGTGATAATAAAGAGAAAGAGAGGTAATATTGAATATTTGTGCACTTATGGAGCCCCCGAGCGACCCGGGTTGAAAGTGTTTCGGGCGGGGGCGCTCTTACAGGAGCATGTGTTTTAATCGAAAGTGTTTAGACCAGTTTTCAGGGGGAAAACAACGTAGCTGTTCATTGTTCCAAGTGTTGTTGAGAACGTTGCCATTGTTGTCCTCCAGTCGGTAGGTGCCCGATCGAATTACTTCGATTACCGTATATGGTCCTTCCCAGGGTGGAGAGAGCTTGTGTTTTTCCTTCGTCGATTGGGTCCTTCGGAGCACGAGATCACCGACTTCGAGTATCCT